CAAAGCATTTCCGTTAGGCGAATGGCCCCCAGGTCCGCGTGGATTTTTTCTAGTTATGTTTTCTTTAGATTTAAACATGAAGCAGTACATGCTTAAAAAATAAAAATTATTAATTTTAAACACGATTTGTTTCTTAGGTTTTCACACACATCGCTCATTAAATAAAACAATTTCAACGGGTTATATGCAACGACCCGTTGATATTGTTTTATTTAAGAATAAAAACTCAAATATAAGCTAATATACTTGGGTCTTTCAAAAACGCTGCGACCATACCGAGTTGTTTACCAAAAATAGCCAAACTTTTTGCTCATTCGTGATACCCAAAAACCTCTTTTGTTTACATTAGCCTTAGCACCGGTACACGAAAAAAAAAAGAAAAAAACCAGCGTGCATTCAAAAAAAGAACCGAAGAATCGGCATTCCGATTCGTTATCGACTCGTCATTACACCGCACGTGCCCAATTAGATTCGAAATATAAAAAAGAGGATTGTCGCGTCTCATGCTGTCGTCTCGCTTTAACGTATCGAGAAAGCTGTGGTGCAAAGGAGATGGAGCATGGACGACGTTGCCCGGGTAGTGTGTGGAGATATTCTTTTTTTATTCACAAGAATTTCGGGTGCGTGCTGCCTGCCTTTACTATGAGGTTAATCAGAACAGTTTTTGGCGGGACCCTTTGGATTTCAATGAGACTCTTGGAACCGCCATACAGGGGCAGCTTGAAGCAGTCGACATGGACTGTTTCAACCGGCGACTGCATAGTAAACTACAGTCTTATTCTTTTGCAGTATTGATTTGTTTATTTACTATTTTTTTTCTGAATGGCTTCGCACGGTTTGTGCATTTAGCCAGTGTCAATGTCAGTGGTTAAAATATTAGTCAAATCAAAGTAAGTGGCAGTCAAGTCAATCCCCCTTTCCCTATGTTTCAGTAAATGTGTGGGGATTTACTGGAACCTCCCCGTGGACTTCTTGAGGGAACGTCGAAAGACACTTTCCGCTATTTTGTTTCACTTGCCAACACTTGTGCATGTTTCCGAACACTTAGTGGTTAATAATCCACCATTATTAGACACTAATATCATTTAACAAGAAAAACAAAACTGCTAAAGTGACGCCTCCCGATCCCGCCAAAAAGTCATTTGTTTGTTTACTAATACTAACGTCAATTCTTTACTTTTTTTGTTGTTGTTGTTTTTAAATTTTTCCTATTGGGAAGGCAAAGAGCATAGCCCATACAGCCTCTTTTTGCATACAATTCGTTACTTTTCCGTCATAGAAAACAGCATGGATTCATCAATGTAGGCGAAGGTAAAAATCTCCTGGTAGGGCGAATGCGACGCGACGGCGACTATGTGAAAGTAGTATGTAATTGGATTAAACTGCTACCTACAAATTTCCGAAGTCTGTTATCCCAAATTTCTTTGAAATTTGTGTTTCTATGGAGTTCTTCGTAACAACACTAGTCCTCATGTCAGTAGACTCAAGCCAATGCCAAGTAAATAAATAAATCGGTTGCTAAAAATAATATTTTAGAGGTTACATTTCTCGCTTGACTGTTGATAATTTCTGTTATTCATTATCATCAGCCTATTAATATCCCTACTGCTGGGGCACAGGCCTTCCCTATGGATGGAATAGGGAGATTGGGCCATGACCCACCACGCGGGCCTAGTGCGGATTGGCGGGTGCTAACGACTGCAGATGAAGCCGGGACCAACGGCTTAACGTGCCTTCCGAAGCACGGAGGAGCTCGAGATAGTTAATATTTGGCCACCCATCCAATGACCGACCTCTGCGAAAGTTGCTTAACTTCAACGATCGCAGCCGAACGCGCTAACCACTTGCGCCATGGAGCTAATCTTTTTCTGTTTTAATTTCTGTTTTTCTAATTTCTGTTACTATTTATCAGTTATTTCTTTACTTCCGATCCGATCCGATCGAAAATATAATCAAATTATATTTTTACTAGCAAACCAGTGAACCAAATGTTCACCAAAACCTGATTTAAAAAAAATGTATTTAATTAATTGAGAAATTCGTGATTTCTCGAAAACCGGAAGAGCTACGTTATTCAAATCCGGTTTGTAGTCTTATCAGACTATTCTTAACTTATAACTTAAATATTCTCTTTATCTATCTCTTACGGTTTGGCCGCTGAAACAGCACCACAGACGGACGGACGGTCTTGTCTAATAGATAAGAGATAATTTGTTTCGGGGAAAACGAGTATTCGCTTTTGGGGAAACTTCTGCTTGTTCTGCGTCTGCGCATCGCGTCGGCCTAACGAGAGCTTCATAAACTTTAAAAGAACTCAAATACGTACAAACAAATCAAAAATTAGAAGAAGCGGTAAACTTTAAACTTTTTACGAGTGACAATCACCGGTTTTTTCAACAGGCAACAAACACAACGCGGGCATTAAAATACTGTTACACTAAAAGCGACACACACATAGCTCATTAAAAGTACAATGACGTAACGAAAATAATTATCTTCACCGACAAGATACAATTTTTATTATAGACCACGATAAATCAACAGAAGCAGCGAGTACAAAAAACTCACATTCATACAGCCATCAGCGTAGCGGATTCAAATAATGAAAAAAAAAGAAACAACGAAATTCGCCTTACAAAAAAAAAAACTTGAATTGCGCAACACCGGCCAAAGCGGAATCAGCTTTAAAACCATTACGATAAGGTTTATGTTACTTTGGACTCGTCTATTATAAGCGTCTTGGGACAAAAAATGATGATCAATTTATTTTTGTCAATGTTCGAGTGTAAAAAAAAATATAGTTAATAACAACGAGACAATGATACTTTAAAAATTCCATCCCAAGTTCTGAACACGAATTTGAAGTTTCTAGTACTATAGCTTGTTTTGGCTAACAATCGGATATATGACGTGTGTTTGAAAATAGTAATTTAAATATTCCATGAAAACGATATAGCATTGTGTCGGAAATTATGTCATCACCATCATCAGCCTATTAATGTCCCCACTGCTGGGGCACAGGCCTTCCCTATGGATGGTATAGGAAGATTGGGCCGTGACCCACCACACGGGCCTTGTGCGGATTGGTAGGTGCTAACGACTGCAGATGCAGCCGGGACCAACGACTTAACGTGCCTCCCGAAGCACGGAAGAAATCGAGATAGTAAATTTATGGTCACCCATCCAATGACCGACCACTGCAAAAGTTACTTAACTTCAACGATCGCAGCCGAACGCGCTAACCACTCGCGCCATCGAGCTCCTCCTCGAGGAAATTGTGTAAAATACTTAAATTATAAATCCCAATTTATAAGACAAATTACATAATAATTATAAATGTGAAATTAATTGATATTTATAATTCTGTTGCGTATATCAGTAAAAAAAAGAAAATAATAAATGCAATTTAAGAAAAGTAAATTACACTATTCACAAATAAAATTCAGATTCTGATAATTAAACGATTACTGTAGCTTGCTACTTAAACAATTAAACTTTAACATGTAATTAAGACGATGAGTCAATTTACATAAAGCGTATAATATTTAGATGAATACAAGTAAGTTTTAATGAAAAACGTTATCTGACTGAGTTGACTAAATACTCACATTTCATTGAAAGAAAATTTTGCTAAGAATTAAGACCAATGGGTTTTTTTCCTCAATGGCTTCGCACGGCAAGTGTTAAAAATGTTTACAAATTCTATAGCACTCGTGTTCAAAGTATTATATCAAGTCAAAGTAAGTGGCAGTCAAGTCGGGATTGACTTGACGTTTCAGTAAATGTGTGGGTATTTACAGGAACCTCCCCGTGAACTCCTTGAGGGAACGTCGAAAGACACTTTCCGCTATTTTGTTTCACTTGCCAACACTTGTGCATGTTCCGAACACTTAGTGGTTAATAATCCACCATTATTAGACACTAACATCCGCCACAACACAATTTTTAACAAGAAAAACAAGACTGCTAAAGTGACGCTTTCCGATCCCGCCAAAAAGTCCTCGACCAATAGGTTAACGTGCCTTCAATTTTTCTTTCTGTTCTTTATTTAGAGACTTTCATTATTCGAATATGTCAGCCTCATCGTACCATAACCAAAACATGCACAACTAATTTAACTTAAAACATTGGAGAGGGCGAGCTATTCTCACAGCGAAAACCATATCAAACATCTACTTTGCTGCGTCTGAGTTTGGTAGTTCTAATATTTCCACAAAGGAACCTTTATTTCCAAAGTTAAGTTGATAATGGTACCAATTCTGGCGTGATTCTCTAAACTTAAAACTAAATTTAACATCAGTCTCTCCTTTTCATTCTGTATAGAGAATGACAAGGATATACTGCTGTCAAATTTAAGTTTAGGTTTAGGGAATCATGCTAGAATCGACACCATTGTTGAATGAATAGCTCTCTATCTCTTCTGCCCTTCACACATTCCATTAAAATGTGTTGGACATCGTCCACTTTGTTACATACTAACAAGTTTTAGTAAATCTATATATATAAAACTCAAAGGTGACTGACTTACATAGTGATCTATCAACGCACAGCCCTAACCACTGGACGGATCGGGCTGAAATTTGGCATGCAGGTAGATGTTATGACGCAGGCATCCGCTAAGAAAGGATTTTGATCAATTCTACCCCGAAGCGAAGCGAGGGCGGGCCACTAGTTTTATAATAAATCTGAAGAAAAACAAAATACTATAAAAAATCCACGTGGATCAGGCAGCGGACATGACAGACCTGATCCGCGTGGAATTATTTAGATTTAATAATCTAGCAGTTAAATGCTTAAAAAAATTAGAATATAAAATAATCAGAGATTAATAAATGCTCCTCTTAGCTTGATGTGTTATGACTAAACCATCAGCTACTAAATAAAAAATAAAAAAAAACCAGAAGAGAAAACAGGAATCGATTTCACAATATCGCACCATATTTTGTTTCAGATCACAGTCACCGAGAAGATGAGCGAGCACTGAATCATCAAAAACCAAAATGGCATCAGAGCGCAGGACACTGTTACTCGCGTTAGTGCTAGTGTGTGTTATCAAAACAAACTTGAGTGACAGTGACTTCAGTGCACCCGGTAACGAGACGGACGATAATAATTACGACGCGATAGACGCACAAGTGACGAAACCCAAAGACATCGAGCCAGAGAGGAGTTTGAGACACGACGAACAGGAGAATGAAAGTGAAAACGAGCGAATTTCAACCGTAGAAGACTTTACTACCACAGCAGCGCCTGAAGTTGAAGGCAATGTTAATGATGATACTCCAAAAACAGATGAAGATATAGAAGGGGACAGTAGGAATGCTGTAACTGTTGATGTGACGGAACCTGTACTTGCCACACTGTCCAACGTAGACAATAATGTTTACAAACAGGTGAACGGTGTCAGTGAGGATATTTATCTTAATAGAAGCAACAATGGTAAGGTGAGTTGACCTATAGAAACATTTTATAGATCGTTTAACTAAATAGATTCATAGATTCGCCGAGACAACAAGGATTGCTGAAATGTACTCACCGGTCTATAACGACCAAGTTGTTGGTATGGTCTTCTAAATTTTAAACCCACTTCAAAACTAAAAATGAGAAGTTTCTAAACGGTGTTGGAAGGAAGTTCCTTTTCGAGTGGAAGTGTAAGATTTTTTCTTCACGACGAAATTGCTAGATTGGTGTATTAGTATACACTAGGGGTTGCCAAACTTATTTTGTCTACTGCCCATTCTTTCATCTAATATACAGGACGTCCCACGGCTCCCTCACACGGAGGGAAAGTATATTCAATATTAAAGACAGGATATTTTACTGAAAAAAGACATCGTTTTATTTTTAATAATAACTAGAACTGCATTCACAGATTTTTTGAAAATCGCCTGCTACAAATGGGAATCAAACTCGTGAAATTTCAAAAAAAAAAAACACGACATATTTTAAGATAACCATCGAAAGGGTTGATCATAAGGATTATTTTTTGCTAAATAACATAGCATTTTAAAAGTGATTATTAAAAATTAAATGATGTCTTCTTTCAGCAAAATATCCCATCTTCAATATTTTATATACTTGTGAGGTAGCCGTGGGACGCCCTGTATAGATAAGTTTGTAGAGACTTTATTCAGGATTGATTTAAGAAATAAACCAAGCCTGGATGTACAGTAGAACTCGAATCGAAAGAGGAAAATCGGGCGGAAATTAAAAAAAGAATCCGGCCGTGAAAAACAAAATGGTGACACAGACGGGGTCTTGAGCGCTATATTGCTTATACATTAGACGGGTTAAGGTAATTTATTTTTAAATTCGTTCCAACCGAGGGGTTCCACGACTCACCTTTTTTGACGTGACAACGTCTTAAATTAGGTTGCGGCTGGGAGTCACTTATGAAAAAGTGTAACGCTCGGTAACGTTACGATGAGTCTCTCGTGTTAAGTTTAAGTTTACATGTACAATGTTTTAGTAAACAAAATATATTTCTATAGTTAAAATTTGTGCAATTCTTATTTTCATTCAATTCCTTGTTCCTATTGTGCAATTTAATTATATTCATATCAATAAATATTCTACCGAGAAAAAGACGTCGTCACGTAAAATCTTCGCCCGTAAAACCGACTTTACAGGCAACCATTTTTTTTTGTACGTTTATTATTCAAGCAATAATGATTACAAATGTGACTTCATGAGCTATCATCTATTGAAGTCATTTTTTAATTTGACGACTCTGTATACAGGGTGTAAAAAAAACCTATGACAAAGACTAAAACTACGCATTCTGTACACCCAAACAAGTGATATTACAAAATCTTATACGTGGGAATCATTTGTATTTTTAAGTTAAAATAATTAGATTTTTTCCAGTACGCTATGTATACCGCGATGTGCTACTGTGGCGCTACGCAAAGAATGTGCCTGTGTGTATGTGTGCGCGCGTGTGTAAGTGCGTCGATATAATAACGTTTTGAAAATATTAATGTATACATCTTGAAAAAAAAATATGACTTTGACCTTCAATATTTCTATAACCATAAATTTCCCAGGTATGGTCCAGAAGAAAATAATGATCGTCATGATGTGGAAAATACGTGGCTTTCGACTTCGTTATAGATTTTTTTACAGCCTGTATATAATACAGGGAGAAAAAAACAGCCCTTGCTGAGTCTCTTGCCGGTGTCTCTCAGTACAAGGTCTCCCGCCGTAGATTTGCGAACCGATGGCGTAGCTTTTCGACATTCACAAGTGCTTGTAACAGCCTGGAAAGGATATTGAATTTAGATTGCTTTTTTTCATGTCGTACAGGGGCAAGGGGACAGTACAGCACCCCCACCGACCAGCCCCATGGACGCATCCGAAGACTTCGTGCCGAGAATAGCAGAGCTCAGCGATGACTTCGACATCCAGGGTCAAAGGAACCCGAAGACTGATAACTGTAAGTTGGTTTTACTTGGTAAACACCAAAGCAATATAATCTATAATCATCATCATCATCAGCCTATTAATGTCCTCATTGCTGGGACACAGGCCTTCCCTATGGATGAAATAGGGAGATTGGGCCAACCGAATCTATAATAGCCACGAGAAAAAAAATCTTTGAAAAGATACGAGCTATACAGGGTGTGACAAAAGTCCGAAATAACACTTAAGGGTTTGGTTGTGTTCCTTGTATAGAATTACCTACGAAAGTTTGACACCTTTCAGACCACTTTTATATCGTTTTACACCTGCCTATGACAACCCTATAAATGCGTACGATTACTACTACCTAAACAGACCCCCTCTCTCCCCCAGGCGCCCCTGCGCCCCGCTCAGATACCTACAAATTTTTATTTCGGAATACATACCTACAAATTTTATTTCGGAATTCTGTAACACCTGTATAATAGCCACGAGAAATTAAGCTCTTTGAAAAGATAAGAGCTATATAGCTCCAGCTATATGACCCAGATGAGAGTAAATTTTATTGACATTTGATTATTGAACTGACAGTATTGACATGTATTAATATTTTTTTGCCCAATATATTGACATTTTGATTTTGTAATTTGAATCTTAAAATAATAATAAAGAATATAAATCATAATTAATTAGTATGCTGATGACGACCTCCGTGGCCGAGTGGTTTGTACGCCGGGTTTCATGGTGTCGCCGACTCGAGAGGTCCCGGGTTCGAATCCCGGTGGGGGCAGATGTTTGTGTGATGAATACGAGCATTTGTACTCCAGTCATGGATGTTTAATATGTACTTCTATATAAATATACTTATATATGTATTCTATCCGTTACCCTAGCATCCCATAACACAATCCTTACAGTGCTTACTTTGTCAAAATCGTAATCGTACCAAAAAAACTCATCTCCACACCACCACCTTTTTAAATTGGTATCCCCAATAGGCCTAATCCACATGCAATTCTAAAATGAATGTGCTAAAATTTAGCGAATTCTCCTTCGCTTTGATGTTCTCTATGGACCAGGTGTTGCAAACTCATCGTCTGTAGTACTAATAGAAACGTCACAGACCGGTATTTCATCTACATCAACCGCGATGGGAGTATCATTAATTAAAAATTTAGATTCACATTAATTTTATAACTCATAGATATAATGAGTTCAATTTAAATGCCACAGGTTGCATGAAAAATGTGTAATGACCAAAGCGCGCGTTGGAGTGCACTTTGCGACGCTCGTACGCCACAAATATTGACTTTATGAAAAAAAAAGGTAGATATATAAATTGTAGGCAATTGTCTCTAGTTTCATTATGTATATTACTGTTTTTAACGTAAAATTAGTCGGAAGAGGAAGGGAAGGAGATATTAGGCTCCATTTTTCCAAAATGGCGGCTGGAGCGACAAAAATACGAGGTGGCAAAGTCGAAATTGAGAAAGAGCACCTCAAAATCTACAAAATTACCAATTTTCAAAACTCCCGAAAACTTTCCAGGTAAAACTACCAAATGACTGTATTAAAATGTAGAAGTGTGTATGTTTGTTACTCATCAACGATAAATAACAAAAGATTTCATTGAAATTTTCCATTGATTAGAAAATACAACACGCCAAAACAAATCCGTACGCAAGAAATAAAGTTCAACGAACCGCAACTTCAAAATATCAACAACTTGTCATCAATAGAAACCATACTATACTAAAAACCAGTTAATTTTACTGCTATCTCAAATACAAATGGATAATAAATTATAAAGTTCTCCTTTTTGAGTCCGTACACAAAGGTGTGGTGACAAACGGTGTCTGTCTGTCTGCAGACACCTGAAATTTTCACAGTCTGCGTGTTGCCGTGGCCGCGCTGTGACAACAAATAATAAAAAACACACAAATAAAAAAACTAGTTTAGCTCGATCTAGTTTCAAATGTATACACTATAGTTACTGAACCTGTTTTTTCAACTGTGAACCTGTTGTGTTTAATTTTGGACTTAGTAATTTGTGTGAGTCGGTCAATATGTAGTAGTGATGTTCATCATCGTCACCATCAGTCAATTAATATCCCCACTGCTGGGGTACAGGCCATCACTATGGATGGAACAGGGAGACTGGGCCATGACTCACCCACCACGTGTAAACAAAAGAGAAGGACATATTAATAGTTGATCTTGATGTTGATGATGTGTTGATGACTGTATACATACTAGTGATGTAACGAATGTAATTTTTTGAACATTCGCGAATGCGAATGCGGATGCGAATATCGGGTTCTGGTCTAGTTTTGTTCAAAATTGGCGCCAATTGTCTATGGCATGGTGGCAGTCTCGTTCGAATTGCCGAGTTGATATGAACTCATCCGACTGAAGTGTCATTCCGCTCGCGCCGGTCTTTTCGTAAACAAAACAAGTGAATTTTGAGGTTAGAGTTTGAATAGTGATTAATTAACATGAGTAAATCAAATTCTAGTGAAAAATGGACTTATTTCACACTTTGCGATGCTGAACGAGCTAAATGCAAGCTGTGTAACAATGAATATTCAAGGAAAGGAAGAACTACAACTTCTTCAAATTGTTTTTTTTTTATATTCATATTCGCAAAACATTCGCAGAGATTTTGCGAATGCGAATGTGAATGCGAATATTCAAAAATATGCGAATATTCGCGAATGCGAATGCGGATGCGGATAATCGTTAAATCACTAATACATACACTACCGATGCTGACGAGAACTAGTTCCACTAGTTTCAGCTGAGCGACAAAAGCTAAAAATAAATATTTCCAAAACTCACACCAATTAGTCGAGCCCCAAAGTAAACACTGTAGGCTCGTTACAGGATACTAAGGGTGCGGCCAGAGTGCACTCAGATTCAGATTCAGATTCTGAAAACAAGCGCGAGAAATAAACAGTGTAGTCTAAGCAGGTTGCCTGCTTTTTCTCGCGCTTTGTTTTCTGAGTCTGAATCTGAATAAGGAGTGCACTCTGGCCGTACCCTTCGACTACACTGTTTATTTCTCGCGCTTGTTTTCGGAATCTGAATCTAAATCTGAGTGCACTCTGGCCGCACCCTAAGGTAACGGACAGAATACATATACTGGATAATAAGTAGGTTAATAAAGAAATACATATTAAACGTCCTTGAATAGCGAACAAATGCTCGTATTCATCACGCAAACATCTGCCCCCACCGGGATTCGAACCCAGAACCTCTCGAGCGACACCTAGAAACCGGGCGTATATACCACTCGGCCACGGAGGTCGTCAATCAAACAAAATTATCGCTCAGCGATGTTCGCTTGGCCGTCAGACTCTCCGAAGTGCCACCACGATCAGTGCCGTCTTTGACCTATTGGAGGCCCTGGGCATATTAGGATAATGGGGCCCCTTTGACTTCCGTTTGGTGATTTAACAGGAACTAGGGACTTTGTATTTGATCTGAGGGGGCACCCTATGGATCCCGGGGCCCTGGGCACTTGACCAAAGTGCCCACTGGGAAAGACGGGTCTGACCACGATCATGTGGCGTCCCATCGTACCCATTGTATTCACACACTCTCTTTAAACCCATCGAGAAAACTATCAGAACTACCCAAAAGCTAAAGAAAAGTTTACTAGAAAAAAATCCACGCGGACCAGGCAGCGGACGGGACTCGATCCCGCATCCTTCGCTATCCGGGCGAATGCACTGACCATGATGCTAGAATGGCCCTATTAGCCGCGTCAAAATTTTCCTAGCAAGCTGCAAAGCAGCGCCATCTCTTCGCATTGTAGGTAACCCACAATGTCAAATGTTTTTTTTCTAGAAAACTTTTCTTTATATTTAAACATCTAGCAGTTAAATGCTTAAAAAAATAAACAAAATCATACCCAAAAGCTTCCATTTCTTTCTCTTTCATTCTTATAGAAAATAGAAATATACTTTATATTGTTCTCTCACATAGAACTACATAATGGCGAAAAGTAAGGGTATAAGCAAATTCACAATTTAGGTACCTAACTTATAATTCTTTACACATCCTTCACAAAAAACTTATGTGTCCGTCCAAATTCGCAGCTGAATCCATCCCCAACGAGCAGAGGAACTTCGACCTGAAGCCGCGACCTTCGCAGGCTGTCAGCAAGAGCAGCACCCTCAAGAGTTGGCTGGAAGACTCATGGATCAGGCCCCCGGTGGGTCTACTAGTCCCGCTGAGGCCGATGGCTTTGAACAGGGCTTTGGCTGTGTGGAACGACTTAACAGTTGGAGGACTCAATGTTTCAGACATCGTGATCGTCGGATATGACTCGAACGGTAAGATTTCGGTTCTATTTAGGTTTTAAGGCAGTGATTCCCAAAGTGATCTATTTTAGGTTTTAAGGCAGTGATTCCCAAAGTGATCTATATCGACCCCTAGCCTAGGGGTCTATGACAACCTGCCCCTCTAGCATGACCACCGAAACGGGATATGATAAAGCGATATATCGACATTAACTGTCAGACTACTGTCAAACTCCATAGTAGTCTGACAGTTAATGCCGATATATCGCTTTATCATATCCCGTTTCAGTGGTCATGCTAGAGGGGCTGCAAGGGGTCTACGTCAGCGAAAAAAAATCAATATCAGGTAAGTATGGGGTCTACCCAACACGGAAAAACATAGCAAGGGGTCTACGACACAAAAAAGTTTGGGGAACTCTGTTTTAAGGGTTCCACCATTTGGTGCTCTATCCTGGAGCTCTACTCTCTTTCTCCGAAACGAAATTTCGGCAACGAACGAGTTTTAAACGAAATTTCGCCAATGACTACTCTATTTCATCTTCGAACATGCACATTAAGTTCGGAATTAGAGACAACTAGCAAACCAGTGAACCAAATGTTCACCAAAACCTGATTTAAAAAAAAATGTATTTAATTAATTGAGAACTTCGGAGTGGTTTCGTTTGAAATTCGTGATTTCTCGAAAACCGGAAGTGCTACGTTACTCAAATCCGATTTGTAGTCTTATCAGACTATTCTTAACTTATAACTTAAATATTCTCTTTATCTATCTCTTACGGTTTGGCCGCTGAAACAGCACCACAAACAGACGGACGGACGGACTTGTCTAATAGATAAGAGATTATCGTGAACGAATGGAATGAGTTATGTTTGTGAGTTCTTTTTGTCTACACTTTTTAGACTTTAAACCAATATTACTTTCTGACAACATTTTTGATTACATTAAAACCACGTCTTTTGACAGTGTTAACCGACTATTTTGTAGAGTTCATGCAATCGAATGTATATCAACCTAAATTTGTCGTGTAACACTTGAAGTATCGGCAATACAATAAGAAACAAAAATTAGATAATTTGTAAATTTTTCATACTAAAAAATGTTCCTCACGCTAAGCAGCTTTAATTAAAAAAATACTCTAGTAGTAATTTTAGGTTTGATTTAAACAAAAATGAAAAGGTAACACTTTTCATTTCGTCAATTTGAGGTTAAAATTTAGAACAATTATCTGTCAAATTCAACTTTTAGTTCGAAAGTTTTGTGAATTAGAGTAGGCTTTTATTTATTTATTTATTTATAGGTACATCAACAGCATAACATACAAGACATTCGTAATATATAGAGGATAATTTTACTGTTTACATATGTTTGCCAATTATAGATATACACAACATTTATACCATATCGTTTAACATTAATTAAAATGAAAGGAGAACAAGAACATTATCTTTAACAAATACTGCTATTATTGATTTATTAAGGTTATTTTTATTAAGAACACACAAAAAAAAGATAGGCTAGACTTAGAGAATTTAAATGTCAATCTATTTTCGGACCAACGAATTTTCGAAATGAAATAGAAACAGAGGAAGGATAGAGAATTTCGTTTACTTTGCCCTGTCATCATGCCTATTGCATTTTTAACAAAACATTCGGCTTTGTGTAAGCAATCTTCATCATCATTATCAGCCTATTAATGTCCCCACTGCTGGGGCATAGGCCTTCCCTATGGATGGAATAGGGAGATCATGGCATGACCCACCACGCGAGGCCAGTGCCGATTGCTGACTGCTAACGGAGCCGGTGGAGCAACAAGTTTTAGGTCACCCATCCAATGACCGAACATTGCGAAAGTTGCTTAACGTTCACGATTGCAGACGGAATTCGCTAAACACCTGCGCCATCGAGCTCCACCTAGTATATCATACTCAACTTTATTTCTCATCAATCAGCAACGAAGGCACTTACCTGTAATCAAAACAGAAACAATTTAATATACAGCCACTGAACACAAAAAGAGGTTAGAAGGGTGATCAAAGACCATTTGTGCGGAAACCTATGTCGCCGGCGCGCCCCCAGCAACCTAATAGCCAATCAAACGACGCGATATCAAACAATTGAACCAATCAGCCCTCACACCCGAAAGCAATGACGCAATAACCAAGTTTTGGTCAAGTTTTCAATGAAATTTTGTTCTAGTGAAATTTTCTTTAGTATTAAAAGTCTAACAGGTAAATGTTTAAAATTAAAATATAATAATAATCTACAACTAGCTGACCCGAAGAACTTCGTACCGCCCAAAAGTAAAACTTTGCAATAAAATAATATTGCGACTATAAATTGAGATGTAAGCTATCCTATCTTTCAAGTTGGATCAAACTGCACACGGTGTGCAAATTTGATTAAAATCGGTTAAGTAATTTATATAATATACTAGCGGCCCGCCCTCGCTTCACTTCGGTGTAGAGCTGAAGTGTAGACTACAGTTTTTGTTCTCAAGCTTGTATTATACACAACGACATTCATCTATGATTCTTCTTATACCTGCATGCAAAGTCTCAGCCCGATCGGTTTAAAATTGACAAAGTTTCATATAAACTTTCATTCCCTATTTTATCCCCTTCGGGGTAGAATTGATCAAAATCCTTTCTTAGCGGATGCCTACGTCATAACATCTACCTGCATGGGAAATTTCAGCCCGATCCGTCCAGTGGTTTAGGCTGTGCGTTGGTAGATCACTATGTCAGTCAGTCACCTTTGAGTTTTATATATATAGATTAAGCTGATGTCGTTTAGAAACATCAAAAACAGTTTGTCAATACAGCTTCTAAATCTGGTTTATCCGTTCAAGACATAGGAAAGCTAGAATAATTCATTAACAAACATTATTATCCTTAACAAGCATTTTGCCCCCGTTCCGCCTTTCGTCAACTGGAGCATGTCGACGCAAGCCTTCTAACATTCACCGTGCAAGGTCAATTTTATATTTATAAATAACGCAACTTTATCATTAAGCCTGATTCACGCCGAGACAACATGGGACAGTGTAATGCTACATATTTTGGAGTGGTTCATCTTTTTTTTATTTCTTTTTATAAAACCAGGTAGGCAAATTACTCTACCCCACCCTTAGATTAAAACAAAAAGGGAAGATCGGCATTCGCGGCTCAAAAGTGATCCGCTTAAAAATCAAGGGTTTGTTGTCAATATTATTTACATAATCGCCATTTTGTAAGCCAGAAAAGGACAACAATACATTGCGTTGAAGCGTATAGTTCTGTCTCGCTCGCTCGATTGATGTTTATATACAGACGTGTGCGTGGCGAGAGTTGCTTATTTAGTTGAGTCGGAACATATTTTATTTGATGCTAGTATAAGCGTACCGTATCTACCCTTTTTGCTTTAATCTAAGACCCCGCCTGATGTTAAGTGGTGATAAAGTCCAAACGCGAAGACAGCTGGTACAGCAGTTATAAACTGCCACACCAACCATCCTCACCTTACCGGCCTGCAAAAATGCTTCTCCACGCCTCTCTTAAAGGACCCCAGTTTGTAAGAAGGAGGGAACACGTGCGCGGGCAAAGAATTCCACTTACGAATAGTACGACAAAGAAATGAGTGACCAAATTTCTTTGTTCGTGTAGGAATAGTGGCCACAGTGAGTCGGTGGCAACGTAGGCCAGCGCGCGTGCTCCTCTGAAGAAAAAGTGATGGAGGGATAAGGGAGGTCTGGTGGTAATGCAGCAAATAGAAAAATTGGGTTTCATTATCAACATTCAGCAGGTTATTCAACATCATGCCTAGATTATTTTCAAAGCATTGTGCTGTGAAACAATAAAATATTTGGTGTGGCATGCCGTACAGTGTTGCCTCGGCGTAAATCAGCCTTTACATTTATATGTATAGGAAATTTATTGGTTCCCTTTTAAACACATTTTGCTTAAACGATAATATGATATTAAAGTGAAACTTCTTTCGGACGGGATGTAAATGGAAAAATCTTATGGAACAGTACCCTTAGTACGAGTTTGAGCTCACGAAAACTATCATAGTTTTCGTAATTATAAATTTTGTTTCTATGTCTATTTTGGTGAAAAGTAATCAAATATACTTAAAATTTAAGAAGACACAAATGATTTAATGATAGAATTTAAACACTGTTTATTTGTATTGAAACGAAAACAATAAAATCAGTACCCTTAGTACGAGTGCGAGCTCACGAAAACTATCATAGTTTTCGTAATTGTAAAACTCGTACTAAGGGTACAGATTAAACGGAAATGCGTCACGAGTGTTTCACGACTATATATATATATATATATGTGTGTGTATGTGCGTGAGTGTGTGTGTGTGTATGGGTGTGTGTGTGTGTGTATGGGTGTGTGTGTGTGTGTGTGTATGTGTGTGTGAGTGGGTGGGATGCGTACGCAGCGCTTCCCGACGAACATGAAATTTGGAGGGTAACTCAGCGAAGGCTGAAACGGTACGAGTATATGAGTGATGCGTGCGCTGCTCCATTCCTTTCTTTGTTAGGTTATTTAAGAAAAGAAGTTGCGTGGAGAAACTTCAAATGCGTTGTCACACATGTCTTTTTATAATTCAAGATTCTAATATGAGGAAGAAATGCAGAAAGGTAATAGTTTAAAATAATCATGACCGCCCCATGAACGTCCACTGCGAGAAAGGCCTACGAATTTCCACACGCAATGATCATAACTCTTTGACGCTAGCGTTTTAATTTAGACCTTATATAGAATTAATTAAAGGTGACATTCAATGTTTAAATAATGCCTTATTTTGTTTTTGACTACCCGATCATCTTACGGAGCGCCTTGGATCGTCCAATGTACATTTTAGACAAGTTTCGGGCGCGATTTTGTTAGTGTGTTTTTATGCTTAATAGAAAAGGCGGTTTGACCACAATCTTGCCTGACGGAAAGCGATGATGAGGCCAAGGATGGTGCACGCCTGCCTAGAGAGTTTGTGTATCTAGGGTATTTTATATCGTTGTAAAAACAAACAAACATTTAACTTAGGTAGATAGATAAATCATTTATTCCCATCAGTACAGCACACAAATTCAAGTAAACAAATAGAACAATTAATGACTTAATGACTGGGTAATTGTGTGCCGCAACGACAGAAAAAGGCAAAAACTAAGCGATACCTTTGCTCTAAGAGCAAAGCACTGGTTTTCAGTTCCGCCTAGAAAGCGCGTAACGAGAAGGTACTATGTGAGTTATTGGCGCAAAGTTTGCTTTGATGATGTGTTTAGATTACTGTACTGAGAAAATACCTTATCTTGCTAGGGTCATAGTTCGCTAATCCTCGATCTTACAGACTGCAGCTAAATATAGCTTGTAGTAGTATAGAGTCAGGGACCAAAACGCGAGGAATATTTACAAAATGGACTTTGTGGAACTTTCAGCCAAATTATGGAAAACACTAACTAGTAATCCATTTATTATTAAAATGCTGATGAGTGTCACCCATTCTTCTCATCAACTAAAATATGCTCTGAATACGGATGGTAGGAAAAACAATTTTGAGACTATTCAAGAGGTTTCAATGAGACAATTTGAATAGTATAATTTCATTACAATTTTTCAGAATAAATAAATTAAATGAAACTTTTTAGACTGCATGTCTTTTAATCAAGCTAAAATGAGAACCAAAAGATATAAATCATTCCCACAGCATTAACTTTGTCTAAGAATGTTCCAGTTACATTTCATCATCATCGTCATCAGCCTATTAATGTCCCCACTGCTGGGGCACAGGCCTTCCCTATGGATGGAATAGGGAGATTGGGCCATCACCCACCACGCGGGCCCAGTGCAGCTTGGCGAGTGCTAAAGACTGCACATGCAGCCGGGACTAACGGCTTAACGTGCCTTCCGAAGTACGGAGGAACTCGAGATAGAACATTTTTGGTCACCCATCCAATGACCGACCACTGCGAAAGTTGCTTAACTTCAATGATCGCAGCCGAACGCGCTTACCACCCGCGCCATCGAGCTCCTCAGTTACAATTACTTTTCCTTTATAAATGCCGTTTTCATTGTCCAGGTGTGAACTGGCGGTCCCGACACAATCTCCAGCCTTCCAACGCGGGGAATGGAGATCGGGCTGTATCAGAGGCGCTGTCGAAGCTACTTCTCAAATACCAGGTACGAGGATGCTGTATATCTTTATATATATAATTCCTCTGTGAGTGTGTATGTCACAGAACTTCTCTTAAACGACTGGACCGATTTTGATGAAATTTTTTGTGTGTGTTCAAGGGGATCTGAGAATGGTTTAGATTCACAATTTTGTCCGCTGGACAAACCCTATTTTTTTAGGGCGGTACGAAGTTCGCTGGGTCAGCTAGTATTATATATATTAATAACACTATTTGTTTTTATACTGTATGACACAGCAATCAAAATGCAGGTAAACAATTAATGTATATTTAATAATTATGTAATGAAAAGTGACTTCATGAATCACCTCTGAAGTCATTTTTCAATTTGACGACTCTGTAAATAATAAAACAGGGAGAAAAAAACAGCCCTTGCTGAGTTTCTTGCCGGTTCTTCTCAGTACAAGGTCTCCCGCCGTAGATTTACGAACCGATGGCGTAGCTTTTCTAGACATTCATGAGTGCTTGTAACAGCCTAAACTGAATAAATGATTTTGATTATGATTATGTAGGACTTCCCTTTCCATTGTTAATGGAGTAAATCGGCATTTGCAGGATGGTAGTTCTCCAGACCAAGGGCGGATCCAGCTTTGGCGCCAGGGGGGGGGGGGGTCATATAGCCAGCTTTGGCGCCAGGGGGGGGGGTCATGACCCCCATGACCCCCCCCCTGGATCCGCCCTTGTCTCCAGTTCTATATCTGATTAAGATTTATGGCAAAATAGGGTGACAGGCAAACAAGTTTACAAGAGCACACAAAGTGTCGCCGCACACGGGACCCTAACGCCACAGCCACAAACGCCGCCGAAGCTAGAAGCGGCTACTAAAGTGGCTGAAGCGCGCGACAGCGGCCGACTAAGGCACGGGAGAGAAGGGTGGGGAATCGCGCGAGTGACGTGTGGCGGCGTTTTGCATCGGCGCATTAAGTGGCCGGTGCGGGCCAGAAGAAGCGAGCAACGACCATTTGTAGCGTGTGGCGGCCACCGGGCGTACCGTGTGTGGCGAGTCCATATAAAATGTATGAAAACTACAAGAAATGTGCCGGTGGCGGCGTTTTGTGGTTGTGGTCGGTGGCCCGTGCGCGGCGACACTAAGGCGCGGACGGGACACAGAAAAGACGTAGGACGCAGACGTGGCGCGGACATATGTCTCTTCCGCGTCCTTTTCATGCAAAACATATAGAAGCGTGGCGTCGCAAAACAAAGAAAAGATGGCGCGGACACGGCGCTTCTTTCGTTTCTAGGGTTCCGTAGCGAAATGGCAAAAACCGGAACCTTTATGGATTCGTCATGTATGTCTGTCTGTCCGTCCACTTTTTCCGAAACGATAAAAACTATACTGTTAAAACTTGGTAAGTAATTGTATTCTGTGAACCGCATTAAGATTTTCACATAAAAATAGAAAAAGTAACAAGAAATTTTGGGGGGTCCCCATACTTCGAACTGAATCTCATTTTTTTTTCATTAAACTCACAAGTGTGAGGTAGCTATGGATGGGTCCTCAAAAGTGATATTGAAGTTTCTAATATGATTTTGTTCTAAACTAAATAGTTTGCATCAGAGACACTTCCAAAGTGGTAAAATATGTGTCCGCTCCCCTGTACCTTCTAAAATAAGAGAATGATAAAACTCTTTGCTCATTTCTATGATTATCTGCCGTTTTATTGACTCTGCACGCTCTATCCGGTTGACTGGTAGAGAACGCCATGCTGGCATTAAGACCGCCATATGCAATGTAAAGGCATTAAAGAGTAAATCTATATATACAAAACTCAAAGGTGACTGACTGACTGAAATAGTGATCTATCAACGCACAGCCCAAACCACTGGACGGATCGGGCTGAAATTTGGCATGCAGGTAGATGTTATGACGTAGGCATCCGCTAAGAAAAGATTTTGATCAATTCTACCCCGAAGCGAAGCGAGGGCGGGCCACTAGTAAATAAATAAACATTAAACCATCTTGTCCACAGGGTGTGAACGCTGACGCCGGCGACAGCACTATGAGAGCTCTCGCGTCAGCAGCTAAACTGGTGCCATATGACAGTGCACTATTCGTGCTGACAGACAGAGGGGCTGCTGACCCTCAAAGACTACCCTTGGCTCTGAGAGCTTTGGTGGAAAAGAGATTGAAGGTGAGTTGAACATGATGAAGGCCGGCAGGGTGAGGCCCCCCTTGTACTTCGGTCCTGCAAAGAGGGGGGCGGCGGAGGGAGCTACACGGGCACGTTCAAGTAGCCCTCCGCAGCGGACGGGGGGCGGTACGGTGGGCACTAGGCCGCGTGCTCAGCCTCCACGCGCGGGCCTACCCGCGCACGTCTGCGGGGTCCCCGCGATACCCCGGGAGACCCCTGCCGTGGAGCCCCGGCTAGGCCGGGAGGCTGCTAGGTGCGAAGACGCAGAAGAATCCCTAAACGGGGATCCCGCGGTTTCGTGCTAAGCAGCTTAGAGGGTATTCGCAGGGTTTTTTAGCGTATATTATGCCGTAAAGCGCTCGTAAGAGTTACGGGGTCCTCAGTGGGTAGCCCGGCTGGGGCTTGTAAGGCTTGCGGGAGCCAGGTGTGAGGTCCATTCAGCGGTGTGCCTCTTAAAGGCGCCGTCGTCTGTAAACAGTATTTTTTGTCTGCGTATAAAAAAAAAGGCAGGCAGGGTGAGGATGGCTGGTGTGGCAGGTAAAACTGCTGTACCAGCTATTTTCGCGACTTAACATCAGGTGGGGTGGAGTCATTTGTCGGACCTATCTATAAAAAAAATGTACGGTTGTACTAAAAAAAAAGTTAGGCACTCTTAAAGTACCATGTTTAGGCAAGATTTGTATAAAATGTACCCTAGTAAATGTCAGTTTCTGTGATGTCTACTTTATTGTTATCGATAAATTTAATACTTCGATATAATATCGACATTTTGATGTCCATCATTAGACGTAATAGTTGCCGTCGTAAAACAATAGACATATATAATATGACGCTAAGTCCTTCCATACTAACTTATGTTCTAATAACGGAATTCCCGCATGTGAATGTGAGGTCTGTTTTCCCGGACCAATATAATCTGGACATCTTCAAAGCCAGAGTGAACAGGCATCTTCTAGGCAGGCGTGTACCATCCTAGGCTTCATCATCGCTTTCCATCAGGCGAGATTGTGGTCAAACGCCTTGCCTACTAAGCATTAAAAAAAAAACAGCTTTGTTCTTGGGCCAACCTAGCAAAGGTATTCTGTCTGCTGCAGCCTTAGATCTAGGTCTATGGCTGAAGCTTCGATTCTGAGCCAACTCTTTGCATGCCATGTACGTATTTGTAGATTAATTTTACTACCAAGAGCCGATAGCATGATATTTCTAGGGTTCCGTACGTCAAAAGTAAAAAAAACAGAAACTTTATAGGATCACTCGTTTGTCTGACTGACTGTCACAGTCAATGTGTTAGAAATTAACTGGAACGACCAAGTTGTAATTTGGTAACATAGTTGTTTGTCTGTCACCCAAACACGAACGAATAAAGTAAATAAATAAAAACCGAATACTTTTAGAGGATGAATTAGAAAATCACACTAATATTATAAAGGCGAAAGTTTGTGAGTGTGTATGTTTGTTACTTCGTCACGTCTAAATGGCTGGAGCGATTTTAATAAAATTTGGTATGGAGTTAGCTGACACCGCGTTAGTTTTTTTTTTTTATAGATAGTTCCGACAAATGACTCCACCCCACCTGATGTTAAGTGAAGGTGAAGTCCAGACGCGAAGTTAGGTGATACAGCAGTTCTACCTGCCTCACTAGCCATCCTCACTCGGGCGGGCAGAGCATTCCTATTTTCATTCATTTTGTTTACTGTGTTACGCGGTATTACCCGCGGGACACAACTAGTAAAAAATAAAATTCAGCTAAGTGTACCGTGTTGTATCCCTTCATTTAATATCACATATCCTAGTAAATAGTTTAAAAATTATTTAAAGAAATAAATGAAAATTGACCTGATACTTCTGCGTCTAAAATTTGGAAATAATATGTAATGTAGCTCTCTCTGCTTGTAGATTACAGGAAAACCTATAAGAAGTTTGTAGCATAATGGTACGAAACTCTGTGCTTTTTTTATTTTCTTTTTAACAAAAAATCTATTACAGGTATACACGATTTGGACGGACCCCAACCATCCATCGGCAGACTCGGAAGATGCTCTCCACGAGCTGAGAAACGTATCCACTCACACCGAAGGGGAGGTGCTACCGTATTCTCTACAAGTAATGGTAATTTACTGTAATTTAGTTATTATTCTCAGTACTTAAAGTACACACATCAAAAGTGTCTAGGGATCAACATATATTTTTGCAATAACTTTTCTCCTGATTGATATTAATTAAAATTTTCTTTAAGGATTCATCAAATAAAGTGTTTTCGTTTGTCACAGTAACGATAAACCAAGTCACCTTTGCATTAATAAAGAAATTTGCCATTTTCCTAATAAAGGGATTTTTGACATTTGAACCACTAACACAAAAGTTCGAAAAAAAGACTGAAATAACAGTTTTCTCTAAAATTTTATTGGGTAACTTAAACAATTAATAATCCGTATTTCTACCGCGAACACTAACAACACAAGAACATCGGTTTGGCATACTCAAAATGAGTTCATCCAAATCACGCTGTGGAATGGCCGCCCATGTTCGTTGCAACAACAAAAAAAGGTCTTCTTGCGACTGGATACCCTCCATATTCGGCAGAGCTCTTCTCTGTAGCATATCCCATGCATGCTCAATCGGGTTCAAGTCTGGCGACTGAGCAGGCCAGGGCAGGACATTGATGTTAGCTGCGGCGAGAGTCTGTCTTACAACTCTTGCGGTGTGCGGTCGTGCATTATCATGCATTAACTGAAATAAGGGACCGATTTGCACTTGTAGAGGAACGATGACGTCTGATACAATCGTCTCAGCATAAATTTGAGCGTTGAGGTTGCCTCTGATCCAAATCAACTCAGTTCTTCCGCCGATCTAAATACCCGCCCATACCATGATGGTTCCACCACTATAAGGATGGACTTCCTGGCAGGATTTTAATCGCTGTTGGCGTCCAGGGGTTCTCCAGTGTCGTATACGTCTTGTATCCGGTCTCATACCAAAACGAGACTCATCAGAAAAGCACACGAAACGCCATTATTCTTCTGCCCAATTTCTGTGTTCAAGAGCCCATTGATATCGAATCCTACGATTGTGCATTGCTATAGGTGGTACCCGTAGCGGTCTTCGGGAATGAAGGTTCACTTCATGCAAGCGGTTTCTGACTGTTTGGTCGCTAATTAAGTTCCCTGAAGAGTGATGAAGCCTCACGGCTAACATCATGGCGGTTATTGTTGGAGCTCTTCGAGTTAAGATTTGAATGTATCGGTCTTGTCTCCGTGTGGTGCAGCGATACCGTCCTCCATGGCGCTCAGCCACGGTACCAGTGCTTCGGTATCGTGTCCAAAGTCGACTGATAACACTCTGACTTGTATTCAGAGCTAAAGCCACAGTACGTTGCCGGGAACCAGCTTCTATCATTCCCACGGCTCTGAGCATTTCTTCCCTGCTTAAATGACGTCGCCGCTCCATAATAACGTTGGTTTTAATCAGTAGTAGGGAAACAGTAGCACTAATAATGTCTTCAATGCGTTGTATGTTTTTATAGGGAAAATATTGACAGCTGATTTTCATCTTTTACTCGAATTTGATTCACAGTTCCTGATTCAAATTATGAAATGCACCAAAAAGGATCCATATAAATTTATAAAATCATAAATTTATTACAAAGCCACATCTCAATCTCAAGAAATCCGCATAAAAATGCTTGATCCCTAGACACTTTTGATGTGTGTATTTAGAGATGCAATTTTGCAGCTCAAACATCTCGCAAAAAATTAAGTCCTATAGATTACCTTAGTATAATATACAATAACTTGATTTGTGAATATATTTATATGCTGATCATTATGAAAAATATTGTTTTTGTCAGTGTTTATTTATATGAAATATTATTTTAAAGAAAATACTTCTGAAGATTAAGCTGTATAGACTAAATGTCCTTTGCCTTCCTTTCTTATGAAATATATAACAAAAAATCAGTAAAAACTATTAAACATTTAAAAAAGGACTTTTAGCGGGATCGGAAGCGTCACTTTAGCAGTTTTGTTTTTCTTGTTAAAAATTGTGTTTTGGCGGATGTTAGTGTCTAATAATGGTGGATTATTAACCACTAAGTGTTCGGGAACATGCACAAGTGTTGGCAAGTGAAACAAAATAGCGGAAAGTGTCTTTCGACGTTCCCTCAAGAAATCCACGGGGAGGTTCCAGTAAATCCCCACACATTTACTGAAACATAGGGAAAGGGGCATTAACTTGACTGCTACTTAATTTGACTTGATTTATTACTTTGACCACGAGTGCTATAGAATTTGTAAACATTTTAACACTTGACATTGGCTAAATGCACAAGCCCTGTGAAGCCATTTAGAAAAAAAGGCGCGAATGAAAATTTCTGTTTTTATAATGTGAAATTCAGTTTTATAAACGTCATATTACAATCAAACCAAAGAGAAAATACCTATAATTAACATTTATATACTTTAATCTCGTTTTAACTATCATAAAATATCTTGAGATATTTAAAAGTTGCTTTTTTGTTTAGTTTGGTTCAGTCATTGGGACCAGAGCATCGTTGTGAAATTGTGAAATACTATTTTATTGTCTTTTCTTATCGAACGGGGAACGCGTACTGACGTACAACCCCTTATTGTCAAAGTTTTTTTAATTTATAATCTACCAAATGTGTAAATCTCATCTATCTATACTTATAATAAATCTGTAGAGAGGTCAATTCTGTACATGAAATATATTTTCAAAATAACAATTGCCAAAAATGCAATCAGTAAAATTTTTGTCTGTCTGTCTGTCTGTGTGTATGTTCCTTATAGAAACAAAAACTACTCGACGGATTTTAACGAAACTTGGTACAATTATTCTTCATACTCCTGGGAAGGTTATAGTATACTTTTCATCACGCTACAATCAATAGCAGCAGAGTAGTGAAGGGAAATGTTGGGAAAACGGGAGAAGTTACTCCATTTTTTAAGCTTCCGTCGCGTGTGCAGCCTTAATGGGTAAAGTTACATAGAAATCATGTATGACAGAAATATTCTACATAAAATTGTCTAAAAAATATGCCGCAACAGCATATGTCTATCTTATATGGTTGACTCACAATAACACGTGTAATTATATAAATAAAGTCATTGTTTATAGCACAAGCCTGAGAACAAAAACTATAGTTTACACTACAGCTCTACACCGAAGCGAAGCGAGGGCGGGTCACTAGTTGCCAAATATGAAAGTTGTATACCTGTACAAAACTCCCATAGTACCCCGCCATTCTCCTTTAGAGAAGAGATCTTTAAAATACAAACCTAGATTATTATAATCATGTTTATTGAAATATTATTTTATTTTTATTGACATATTTATTAATTTTAATTATTGTCAAATTTAATTTTATAAACGAATTTCCATAATAATAATTACAAAATTAAACTACTACTGTAAATAAGATCAATTGAGTAAGTTATAAAATTAATGAAATCATTGATGACATTTATGCATGCTTTGAGAAATAAAGTTGTTTAACACAAATTAGGTTCTTCATATAGATAATGGTTTATTTGTTAAATTCTCTTTTGTAATGTTTATCTATATTGCCTGACAGGGTTCATGTTAGGTACTTTATGCATTTTGTAACTTGTAACCATCTATTTAAAAATCATTATAAAAAAATTAAATTTTGGATAATTATTTCTTTCTTACAATATTATTGACGACTTTATTTATGACGACCTCCGTGGCCGAGTGGTTTGTACGCGCCGGGTTTCATAGTGTCGCCGACTCGAGAGGTCCCGGTTCGAATCCCGGTGGGGGCAGATGTTTGTGTGATGAATACGAGCATTTATACTCCAGTCATGGATGTTTAATATGTATCTCTATATAAATATACATAATTATATATGTACAGTATATGTATTCTATCCGTTACCCTAGTATCCCATAACACAAGCCTTATAGTGTTTACTTTGGGGCTAGGCTAATTGGTGTGTGTTGGCAAAAAATAAATAAAATAAATAAATATTACATCTTTTTTTTATCGAACTGAAGGTAAAACGTGGGTTAAACTGTACTTCCAGGGCCCAAGCGGTGACACTTCACACTAGGTTAGATTAGTGTTATGACCAAAGAACACTATTAAAAGAGCAGGAGTAGTCTATTGGGACAGGCGAAGGTAAGACTAAGCTATCATCATCATCAGCCTATTAATGTCCCCACTGCTGGGGCACAGACCTTCCCTATGGATGGAATAGGGAGATTGGGCCGTGACCTACCACGCGGGCCCAGTGCGGATTGGCGGGTGTTAACGACTGCAGATGCAGCCGGGGCCAACGGCTTAACGTGCCTTCCGAAGCACGGAGGAACATGAGATAGTAAATTTTTGGTCACCCATCCAATGACCGACCACTGCGAAAGTTGCTTAACTTCAACGATCGCAGCCGAACGCGCTAACCACTTGCGCCATCGAGCTCCTCTAAGACTAAGCTATACTGCCAAACTATTAAAAGAGACCTTTTGTACAAAAAAAAAACATGTATCACCGCTTGGGCCCTGGAAGTACAGTTTTGCCAACATGACAGTTTTAGGAATAGCTCTATTCTAATAAAAGCGTTCATTCCAGGATATGGACGCCAGCAACCTGGCTTCGGAACCCGATCTCCAGGATTGGGAAGAAGTGCATAACATGCAGGCGAGACGAGGGAGGCTAAACCCTGAAGTGGACCACGAGAGATTCGAGGTATTAGAATGATATTTTTTATACTATAGATGAATATGCAAATTTTCATCAAATTAAATGACATTTATATATACGAGTATTTTAAATATATAAAATTCTCGTGTCACAGTGTGCGTAATTGAACTACTCCGAAACGGCTAGACCGATTTTCGTGAAATTTTATATATGAATCGGACAATATCTATTTTTCATCCCTCTAAATGTTAAGGGTAACCCTTAATACATATTTTTTTTGTTCAAAATTTTTTGTTTTTATTTTTTATCTTGAAATATACATACAACCCTAAATTTTCACCCTGCTACCACCAACCCCTATTTTTTATGGTGGTACGAAGTTGACTGGGACAGCAAGTTTTAATATAAATGACATGATAGTAGCAGCACGCTATGATGGTCGTTTTGAGGTTTGTGCGTTGATGAAGTTTCATATTCCAAAATCGAAATTAGTTCTACATTTGAAAGAAATAATTATTGTTCTTCATTGGCATTAGAGATGTGCATCTATATATATACATAGTGATCTATCAACGCACAGCCCAAACCACTGGATGGACCGGGCTGAAATTTGGCATGCAGGTAGATGTTATGACGTAGGCATCCGCTAAGAAAGGATTTTGATCAATTCTACCCCCAAGGGGTTAAAATAAAGAATCATAGATGAATGTCATTGTGTATAATACAAGCCTGAGAACAAAAACTGTAGTCTACACTTCAGCTCTACACCGAAGCGAAGCGAGGACATAAAGCGCGATAGCGCTTATCATACTGATATTATAAAGGCGAAAGTGTGTGAGTGTGTATGTTTGTTACTTCTTCACGTCTAAACGTCTGGAGCGATTTTAATAAAATTAGACTTCGCTGACACCTTGGATTAACACATAGGCTACGTTTTACTGCGGGAAAATATCCCTAATAAACCGCGAGGTACAGCTAGTTGACAAATAATTTACAAGCACGCCATCTACCGCCAACCCACTGGAACTACTAACTGGAATCGATGTTTCAGACGCTACTCGTACGCCGTGGAGGCGGCGAGGCTATATCTCTGGGTGTGCCCATAGAGAACGGAGTGACAGCGCTCAAGATATACATAGAGGGAGCTGTTGAGCATGCTGTGCTTTACCCACCCAACGATGGTAAGTGAGAATCTATAGCCCCCTCAGGTTCGAGTGGTCTAGAGGCTCCAGACGGAGAGGACACTCCCCCCGTGGGCAGATGCCATCCGCCTGGAATACCTCTAGAGGCACTCGCCAATTCTCGGCTTGAGGTCCCCTTAGGATCTCGCCGTCCCCAAACCCGGTGACGCTGTAAAGGTCATCTGCGACCAACAGCATACACACTCAAAAAAAAGGATTTAAAAGTACTTACTAGGAAAATGCATTTACGGAGGTTGCATACATTGTTCCAAAGTTCAAAATTACGAGATCATACAACGGAGCGTGCGGTAAAACATTTTACCGCACGCCTCCATACATTCTTTTTTTTCGGTTGAACCTCTTTGGAGCTTCTTTTCTATACCTTTGTCTCATTTTAATACGTTATGTAGTTTTAATAATAATAATGAATATTTTTCCAACACTCACACCAATTAGCCTAGCCCCAAAGTAAGCACTGCAAGGCTTGTGTTATGCTAGGGTAACGCAAAGAATACATATTAAACATCCATGACTGGAGCACAAATGCTCGTATTAATCCCACAAACATCTGCCCCCACCGGGATTCGAACCCGGGACATCTCGAGCCGGCGACACCATGAAACCCGGCGTACAAACCACTCGGTCACGGAGGTCGTCAAGAACGAGTCTTAAGTTTAAACACTATTTTAATAAGGTAGAATTACTCGTATTCATTATACAAACATTTGCCTCTTGAATTTAATTTATTAGCTATAAGAGAAAGAGAGGAAGCAAATGTGCGCGCGCACTGCTTTCTCTTGCTTATATCCCCCACTCAACTCCCTTTCGCCTCGCCCGATCACACTTTTCGTAACGCGTAACGCGTTCGCCAGCTTACTCCCCAAGTCAAGCGTGCGTAAAGAAGTTTCACTTCAAAAAGTCCTGTCCCCGTAGCATGAGTACCACGATTTGCAATATATCATGTTTTTCATCGCGGGTCAAAGTCAAACTCCATATTGATTTGACAATTGAGCGTGATGAAAATGAGCTTTATATCATATCGCGGTACTCATGCTAGAGGGTAGTGATGTAACGAATATTCGCATCCGCATTCGTATTCGCGAATATTCGCATATTTTTGAATATTCGCATTCGCAAAATCTCTGCGAATGTTTTGCGAATATGTTTATTAGAATAAAAACAATTTGAAGCAGTTGTAGTTCTTCCTTTCCTTCAAAATTCACTTGTTTTGTTTACGAAAATGACACTTCAATCGGATGAGTATATATCAACTCGGCAGTTCGAACGAGACTGCCACCGTGCCATAGACAATTGGCGCCAAAACTAAATATTCGCATTCGCGAATGTTCAAAAAATTACATTCGTTACATCACTACTGAGGGTCAGATTGCCTTAAAAGGACACCCGGCATTTTGTGCCAAAGTTGTATACTTTTTTAATTTTTTTATCTGTGTTTCATAATTGGGTAACGTAGTCTGGCAATATTTGTCATCAGCAGCTAGCTGTCAATGTCAAATACGTAGGTTTGTCATCAAAAGGGTTTCTATATCAAAAAATATTAATCATTAAATAACTTCTATCCACGATTCACTAAAAATAAGGCAAAAGTAGTTTTATGTAGCAAATAATTTTGGCTTTATTTTGAGACCAAATTCAACTGTATACAAGTTTAGCATTTTTTCTATGAAAAGTGCCGGGTCTCCTTTATCGATAAAATTTGAACATCCAACCTAAAAAAAAAAATTCAAAATTCAATATCATTTATTCAGTCTAGGCTGTTACAAGCACTTGTGAATGTCGAAAAGCTACGCCATCGGTTCGCAAATCTACGGCGGGAGACCTTGTACTGAGAAGAACCGGCAAGAAACTCAGCAAGGGCTGTTTTTTTCTCCCTGTATTATATACAGACTCGTCAATTTGAAAAATGAGTTCAATATGAGATAACCCATGAAGTCACTTTCCATTACAAATGTAAATGACAAAACAATTATGACTAAAAAATAAAAAATATAAAAAACAGATTTAAAAATGAAAAAAAAGTTTAGGAATGCCGTGTCCCACTGTTTCGGCATAAAAACAAATGTACCATTAAAGTTAAATACAACGATTAATAGTACCCAATGTAGCAAGAGCAGACTCATCTCCGCTGGCAGCACCCGTTCACGAGCATGACGCATGAACCAGCCATCGCTTCGCTCAACCATTTTTTAGGGAACGTAACGACCCGCCTCACACGACACCTCACCTAACACTTAGTACATTCCCGACAAGTCCTTAACCGTGGTAATAGAGTTACACAAAGGTAGCGTGTCAACATTGACCTTCAATTAGACCAACAATCGCATTGGTAATGACTTGTGACAACATTCATTCGCAACAATTTACCCGTCATAAAATACATAATTTTAAAACGCATTTTCCGACAGCACAACAATCGGATGTAATTTTACCTTAATTACAATGACGCGATCGAATTTTCCATTTCGAGGAGCTCGATGGCGCAAGTGGTTAGCGCGTTCCGCAGCGATCGTTGAATTTAAGCAACTTTCGCAGTGGTCGGTCATTGGATGGGTGACCATAATTTACTATCTCGAGCTCCTCCGTGTTTCGGAAGGCACGTTAAGCCGTTGGTCCCGGCTGCATCTGCAGTCGTTAGCACCCACCAACCCGCACTGGGCCCGCGTGGTGGGTCATGGCCTAATCTCCCTATTCCATCCATAGGGAAGCCTGTGCCCCAGCAGTGGGGACATTAATAGGCTGATGATGATGATGATCGGATTTTTGTGACGTAACAGAGATGTGAGGCAGCGCATTCACATGTTGGCCAAAGCTTTGGGTTAAGCTACAGCTTTAATGAGGGTTGGGCAGGGCCGTCTTAAACCTATTGGAGGCCCTGGGCATATTAGGATAATGGGGCCCCTATTACTTTGATGTGGATTATGACTTGAAATGGAGCGAGTCATACTGACGAGTGTACTACTGATGATTTTTCTTTAAAATGTTGATGTGCTTAGTATACCATAATTTATCTAAGCATGCTGAAGTCGGAAAGCCTAATTTTTGGGCGAGAGTAGAATAGCTTCGCTTATGTAAAAATGTCAGTCATTTAGGATCGATTTCATCGAATTAAGTTTTTTGGTAATAAATATTGGTTATCGTTTGGTGATCTAACAGGAACTAGGGACTTTGTATTTGATCTGAGGGGGGCCCTATCGATCGCGGGGCCCTGGGCACTTGACCAAAGTGCCCACTGGGAAAGAGGGGTCTGGGGTTGGGTCACTGAGAGGCTTTACCGGGCTTTAATACCTTAGTCCGTCTTTGTATTTCTAAAATAGAAAGTACAGATGAAATCTCAAATAAGAATTAACATTTCTTATCCGTAATTGTAAATTTGAAAACAGCCTATCCTTATCATGCTTTATAAGGAATGAAAAGGGCAACAGGCATTTGTGTTTACAAATGAGGCCATGAGGCTTAATACAATTAAATTAAATCTTACTTAGGCCAGTATGGCTCCTAAAATTTAGATCAGACTAAAAACCGTAATAGTAATTATACTGCCATCTAGTGAATATTTGCTATATCACTTTTAGACCACTCTGGTTCTATCAAAATGATCAATTCAATTCAATTCAATTCAATATATTTATTGTTTCATGTGATCAATTTGAACTGGAAAAAATCATAAACTCAATATTGTAAAACATGTGTTAGGCCACAATTGTTCTCAAGGCCTCAAATAGCAAACACAAGTAGCCCATCCCAAGTAAGATTCCATAGCGAAGTTTATGAAGGACGCCTCGAGACGTTACTTCAATTAGGCCGCGCATCATTCGAACCCCTAAGTAGTTAAAGCCATCATACGTCCACCCTCCCGGCCTCCATTCAAAGTTCATCCGATTCCGTCTGCCTAGGCATGTCTTAGTACCCCGTCGACGAAATCACCCGCGCCAACGCATCTCCGATTCCTCCCACACAGGCCATAAACACCAACACTACACAGCTAGCATACTTGCACACAAGCTTAGCATTAGGCAGACACCGCACCCGTAGGATAAGAGTGCGAAGACCCGGTCTACACACGACACGCTATACCAGGTACAGGTACGTAGCTGGGCGTTTTTCCCCGCCCCCAACGACAACGGCTAACTAGTGCCGAGTTCCAACGCCCTCTAGTTGAGCCGACCCCCTCAGGTTCGAGTGGTCTGGAGGCTCCAGACGGAGAGGAGACTCCCCCCGTGGGCAGATGCCATCCGCCTGGAATACCTCTAGAGGCACTCGCCTATTCTCGGCTTGAGGTCCCCTTAGGTTCTCGCCGTCTCCAAACCGGGTGACGCTGTAAATGTTACTTGTATATGCGACCAACAGCATACACATTTAAAAAAACCAGTAGCCAAGTGAACTGCTACTATACAAATAAGCTGTTCATCACACAAATTAATTCCCGTCCGAGAATCTGACGGAATCTAACCTTTAGCATAACGTAGAAGAAGGTCATGTTCTGCGTTGTGCTCAACCTATTTGATCATGACATTGACAGGAGTGTATCCGTTTCGTCCCTTATAGAGCAGGATAAGGATATTTTGCTGGCAAATTTGCCATTAACAACAACGAATAGCCCTGTCAAATGCTGGTATACTAATAAGATGTTGCCCAGAACCTATAGAGAATCATTGGTAGAAATAAACACACCGATCGAAGGATAATAAAAAATCGCATAAGCCTCTTAGTGTCGCCGCACACGGGCCACATGCCACAGCCATAAACGCCGCCGAGAAGCTAGAAGCGGCTACTAAAGTGGCTGAAGCGCGCGACAGCGGTCGACTAAGGTAAGGGAGAGAGGGGAGGGAAATCGCGCGAGTGACGTGTGGCGGCGTTTTGTATCGGCGCATTAAGTGGTCGGTGCGGGCCACAAGAAGCGAGCAACGACGACTTATAGCGTGTGGCGGCCACCGGCGCGGGCTGCGTACCGTGTGTGGCGAGTCCACATAAAATGTATGAAAACTACAAGAAATATGCCGGTGGCGACGTTTTGTGGTTGTGGTCGGTGGCCCGTGTGCGGCGACACTTAAACACCAAATCTTTTAAGCATGGAGGTTGAAATATAGTCAGCATGAGTGTTATCTTAAACAAGAATATACACAAATGATTAGACAACTTCTTTAAATGGGGAAAAATCGATGGGCAATTGACTGACAAGCGACAGCTACACACAATTAGCTGCGGCGGTAATCTCGAGAGATTTTGCTGACATCACCGTGGTTTTTGCTTACTGTTAAAAAAGCCCGAGCCAGACAATTAGACAATCACCTAACACCGAAGACGTACATACTAACAATGTGTCAATCAATCAGTGTGGATAGCTATTCAAGATAAGTCATTCAAAAATTCAATATCGTTTATTCAGTCTAGGCTGTTACAAGCACTCATGAACGTCGAGAAGCTACATCATCCGGCAAGAAACTCAGTAAGGGCTGTTTTTTTCTCCCCGTATTATATACGGAGTGGTGAAAAATGACTTCAATATTAGATAACTCATGAAGTCACAGTCACATTTAAGTAGTCATTTTAGTTTGCTCTTATGCACCCGTTTTTTTTTTTTTTTTGTCTGGGAAATGCTTTACGCATCCTTCAACCATCGGGGGAGCGAGAAGGTATGTGGGACTCTTCCCTGCTCATTTCAGCCAGCCCTTAGGCCGGGTGAAATGAGCAGGGCCCTACCTAACGCCCTGAACAGGGCCACTAAAAACCAGACAATACTCCTCCGCGCACCCGCAAGGTGATTGTCCGCGAACGGACCCACCCCGATGAAGGTGCCCCGGAGTATCAGGGGCACCAGCATCAAGAGAGCTTGTGCAATGCAGGCTTGTCCCCCCCCAGGGCAGACCCGCGGCTCTCACAGGAGTGGGAGGGAGAGCGTAGTTCTCTCCGTCCCTCTCCCCCCCCCCCCTTGGCCATAAGAAGGGCCTTGCTCTTATTCACCCGTTAAATTTTAAGTGGTTGTCTATCATTTACTGGTAGCGTTGCCAGGCGTCCGGGACAAAGCCGGGCGTAGTTAGGATTTTTGATTGCATGTCCGGCCAAAATAAATGTATGTGTATTTGATGATAAAGATTAAATTTCTACCATCCAGCGCCACAAATCGACCTCTACAACAAAACATCGGTGGCCGCCTTCTCTCCAGCATCCAAAACCATCGGACTGAATCCAAGAGACGTTCTTCTGGTCTTCCCTGGAGCCAAGACTGGTGACGAGTAAGTTACAAATAATAATAAAAACCGTATATTTTCTTCTCCACAATTTGTGTATGTTCAGGAATACAGCTAAAAAATTAAATATCTCAAACAGAAATTGTGGGATAAGGCAAATAATATAGGCAGATTCCTGCCTGTGCTATAGGCCTCTGACCCCCACGCTTGGACATGCGACTTGTTTTAAATAATGTCGAGGAGTTTAGTTATGAAAAAAAAAATGTGTGTGTGTGTGTGTGTGTGTGTGTGTGTGTGTGTGTGTGTGTGTGTGTGTGTGTGTGTGTGTGTGTGTGTGTGTGTGTGTGTGTGTGTGTGTGTGTGTGTGCGTGCGTGTGTGTGTGGAGAGAGAATTTAAGTTACAAATGTATCCAATGAGGTATGGCGTAGCAAAGTAGGCTGTTCAAACTTTATGGCTTTATTGTGAAGTTAGCAGCGAACACAACTATGCACAGGATTTAGTGACATACCGTCGTCATCCTTAATTTCGTACATTGCGCTGTTGCTATTTTTATTTATTTATTTTATTCTAGACCAAAATCCACAGCATTTTCTTAATATAATACAGGTTTTACAATATAGTTTATCTTAATGCCAATTACGGATTTTCATTTTTTAGTTATAGCATAATAGTTTAGAAAACCCTCTACCAAACAAGGGCGAGATGTGTGCAATGCGCGCGCGCTATTGTATATGTGTGTGTGTGTATGTGTGTATGTGTGTGTGTTTGTGTGTATATATGTATACATGTGTGTTTCATTTTTGCGCAAATTTCGCAACCGCGCCGTTAAGATTGAAAATTGAAGCCAAAAAATTGAAGAGATTAGATCGCACTATACTCCTAAATCCTTTTGCAACGTGAAAGTTAAATAACAGTCTTTGGTAAAAATCTAGATTTATAAATTCGACATTATTGTATTGGCTTAAATGTAATTTTAGTTTAATTGAAATTTAGCAAGATTATCTTAATATATATAAATCTCGTGTCACAATGTTTGTCCTCAATGGACTCCTAAACCACTGAACCGATTATATTAAAATTCGCACACCATGTGCAGTTCGATCCAACTTGAGAGATAGGATAGTTTAAAGCTGAAATTATAGTCGCAATTTTAATTTATTGCAAATTATTACTTTTGGGCGGTACGAAGTTCGCCGAGTCAGCTAGTTATTATATATGTTTTGGTTTGTTCCAACTTCCTAATGGAGCTCGATGGCGCAGGTGGTTAGCGCGTTCGGCTACGATCGTTGAAGTTAAATAACTTTCGCAGTGGTCGGTCATTAGATGGGTGACGAAAAATTTACTATCTCTCACTCCTCCGTGCTTCGGAAGGCACGTTAAGCCGTTGGCCCCGGCTGCATCTGCAGTCGTTAGCACCCGCCAATCCGCACTGGGCCCGCGTGGTGGGTCATGGCTAGGGCTGCCATCCGTCCGGGTTTCCCCGGATTTGTCCTAGTTTACGGGGCGTCCGGGGAGCGTCCGGGCGGGGTAAAAATTTACGGCAACGCATGAGTGGCCCTTGGTGCTGCAAGTGTCCATGGGCAACAGTAACCACTTATTATGAGGTAGACCGCTAGCTCTTTTGCCTAGATCAACATAAAAAGTTGATTTGTGACATTTTTAACTGTTTTTTTGGTCTGTCCGGGTTCTGGGCTTCAAAATCCGGGGTTATCACGCGTCTTATCCTGGTTGCCACATTTTAGAGATGGCAGCCTTAGTCATGGCCCAATCTCCCTATTCCATCCATAGGAAAAGCCTTTGCCCCAGCAGTGGGGACATTAATAGGTTGATGATGAAACGTTTTCCCACAGCCTAGCCGTAATGCCTGCATCTCCACCAGTCTCCGATGCAGGATTGGTCGGAGTTTGGCATCTCAGCATACGTTGCGACACTTGCGACTATCGCCTCGGTATCGCGGCTAGGGGTCAACTGCATTTCGACGTGGAAGAAGAGAAACCGGGTGAGTGGTACTACATATTAATTCAATTCAATTCAATATCGTTTATTCAGTCTAGGCTGTTACAAGTACTTGTGAAGGTCAAGAAGCTACGCCATCGGCACAGAATATACAGGGTGGAAATTTTGAATGCCACCCCCACCCTATCGATTGATGACATAAATGACAGTTGTGTTTCTTTTAAAAAATAAAGGAATGTTTCCTTTGAGTAAAATTATCTACCTCCAGTATTTAGAGTACTTCCCCTGGGGGTGGCATTCAAAATTTCCACCCTGTATACACTACGCGAAAAGAAGCGACACTTAAGCATGTGTGCTCGTAAAATCGCCCGCGGCTATGTGTGGGTGTCTGGAGGTGCGCGGGGAGGGGGGGGGGGGGGGGCGTGGAGAGGGCAGTCGCCGACTGCCGAGACCGAAGGGATGTCAGTAGCGAAATAGTAAAATAATAGCGTTTCACCGCATTGCACGCACGGACTGACTACGCTACGCAATCTTATTATTATTTAGATAATAATAAGAATTATAAAACGAATCGAAAAAGGAGAAAATATATAAAAGTTAGCAATTTGTTATAGTACCTACATTAAAGATTGAAAATTGATTATAAAATCAAACCTATCCTTCATTATTTACCCCAGTATCCTTAAATCAGTTTACATTTGATAACTTACTATGCATAAATATTCACTGGCACAAGTCTAAATTCCAAGTTCAACCCTAGCGCATACACGCTCCTGCTCAAGGTCACTGACGCTGGAACTCTCACGTACAGAGTGTCACCGCTGTGCCGTCGGTTCGCAAAACTACGGCGGGAGACCTTGTACTGAGAAGAACCGGCAAGAAACTCAGCAAGGGCTGTTTTTTTCTGAGTCGTCAAGTTGAAAAATGACTTCAGAGATACGTCGATATCCGTTTAACATATATCTTGCCCAATTAATGGATAGCCGAATTCATTTGCAGATATTTGATTTATTTGTTTCTTAGGTTTTCACGCACATCACTCATTAAATAAAACTAGTTTTAACGGGTTAATGCACGAAACTTTATTTATGGCTGCTTCGTCAGAATTATTTTTTATTTGTTAATATAAGTTAATGCACTTATCCTTTCCACATACAACCCATAAGCTCACGCACACACAGACACATTCACAAAAAATCGCCAAATTCAGTCAACGACAAATGTATTGAAGATTCTACTTATCTGTCGCAGAAAAAGAAATAAAAATTAAAAAAAAAACACACCGTTCAACGTCGCCGGGTCGACAACCTTCACTATTTAATGGCATCGCCACTCAAAAATATATTATTCACATTTCACGACGAAGACTTGGCGTAAAAAATTCACACCAACAATGAGCTCGCAAGTAAAGGGCCATTTACACGATGCAAGTTTCTTGCCTGTACCATACAATTAAATTGAAGCAATAAATGACTTGCATGGTCTGAACAGCACATATTATAATTGTAAATAATAATAATAATATTTCCAACACTCACACCAATTAGCCTAGCCCCAAAGTAAGCACTGTAGGCTTGTGTTATGGGATACTAGGGTAACGGATAGAATACATATACTGTACATAAATATAAGTATGTTTATATAGAAATACATATTAAACATCCATTACCAGAGTACAAATGCTCGTATTCATCACACAAACATCTGCCACCACCGGGATTCGAACCCGGGACCTCTAGAGTCAGCGACACCATGAAACCCGGCGTACAAACCACTCGGTCACGGAGGTTGTCAAAGGAATGTTATAATTTGACTTCTGTTTATCTATCTATATATATATAAAAATCAATTGCTGTTCGTTAGTATCGCTAAAACTCCAGAACGACTGAACAGATTTATCTTATCTTGGTCTTGAAATCTTTGTGGAGGTCTAGGGAAACTTTAAAAGGTAAGAAAAATAATTCTATGAAGAAATTCATTGTGTATAATACAAGCCTGTGAACAAAAACTATAGTCTACCTACACTACAGCTCTACACCGAAGCGAAGCTAGAGCGGGCCACTAGTATATAATTTTCATATCATTATAAATTGTAATTTTTGAAATAATTTGTGAATTGTAGGAATGGATCTTGTGTATGAAATAAAAGTCTATTTATCATCACATTCTTGATCTGTTATGCAAGTTTTGTTCCTAAACTTTTCTGGATGTAAACGGCACATACAATAATTGCACTTCTATTCATACGTGAATAAAAAATTCGCCATCGCACGTGAAATTCTCGGAGCAACTCTCTAATAATTAGTACACGCATATATGTACAAGCCTGTGTTTAGACATATCAAAACTTGAAAGCAATAATCGCCCTTACATAATTTTGGTGTAAACAACAAGCATTTGCAATTCTTTCATGTTAAAACTTGCGTTCAATAATTGTATGCAACCTTTTTACTATGTCCGCGTGTAAGCAGTTCCTTACAATTTTTAAAGATCAATCAACTTCGCCTTATTTATTATATTCAATTATTTTTCTTGTATGTACAAGAAAATTGCATCGTGTAAATGAGTCTTAACAAAGCCGCCATACCGATAAAGGTCTGTGCACAGCTACACATGCTATCAAAACTGTCAAAGCATTACATTTAATTTAAATTGACTTATTGCGAGCTTATTAAATTATTATTTTGAGCATTTAACTATTAAATATATAAATAGGAAGATTTTTTTACTATAAACAAATCATCTTTCGTCAAACGGGATTCGAATCTGCGCCTTCCACAATCCGCCCTCCCTCGCTTCGTTTCGGTGTAGAGCTGAAGGGTAGACTACAGTTTTTGTTCTCAGGCTTGTATTATACACATTGCAAAGTCTCAGCCCGATCGGTTTAAAATTGACAAAGTTTCATACAAACTTTCATTCCCTATTTTATCCCCTTGGGGGTAGAATTGATCAAAATCCTTTCTTAGCGGATGCTTACGTCATAACATCTACCTGCATGCCAAATTTCAGCCCGATCCGTCCAGTGGTTTGGGCTGTGCGTTGATAGATCACTATGTCAGTCAGTCAGTCACCTTTGAGTTTCATATATATATAGATACGGACTATCTGATGACCTGAACAGAGTGGATTTTATTCCAGTAATAGTTTTCTTTAGTTTTATTTAAGTCACTTGAAAGTGAGCGAGAAATGACCGTGAACAATATATTCAAAAACAAATTACAATATTTTTTGTTTAGTAGACAAACGTTACTATACGGCCCGTGAATTTTTGGAAAACAAATGTTTTTAGACTAAGTATAGAAAAAATGACATGCATGAAATAAATACAATTCACTGGAGACCGAAGATCTTGCCAGCTCCTCGGACAACGAATTAGTCTAGCTATTCAAAGGGGGAACGCTGCCAGTATCTTCGGAACCTTGCCTAAAGGGACTCCTTTTAGTAATATATTTTCAACATATAGGCTACATATTATCACGCTATCACCTACGGAGAACGAGCAGTGAACCTTAATTTTTAACTAACTCCACGCGTACCTACCTACCATACCGTTTTGTTCGCCAGCTCCTCATATAATACAACATGCAAAGCTTGGATGGATTCCATCTGGCCAGGTTTCCTCAAAACCTTTGGGCAGCCTCCGGTTGTCAAGTCTAAGTGTCGCCGCACACGGGCCACCGACCACAATCACGAAACGCCGCCACCGGCATATTTCTTGTAGTTTTCATACATTTTATATGGACTCGCCACACACGGTACGCCGGTGGCCGCCACACGCTACAAATTGTCGTTGCTCGCTTCTTGTGGCCCGCACCGGCCACTTAATGCGCCGATACAAAACGCCGCCACACGTCACTCGCGCGATTCCCCAGCCCTCTCTCCCTTACCTTAGTCGGCCGCTGTCGCACGCTTCAGCCACTTTAGTAGTAGGGATGTCGAAAGTTGAATAAAATATCGATACATCGATTTTTAAAAAAATATCAATATCGGCTTCGATATATCGCGAAAAAAACATATATCGGACCAATTTTCCCAAAAATATCGTACAGTATCTCACGAAATATGACACACGGAATAATAATGGAACGAAAATTATCTCCCTAAAAATAGACTCTATTTTCGAATGATGAAAATGATTGCAGGGCCTCTCAGGTAAATGATTGTAGGGTCTCTTTCGTAAACAAGACTAGACAGTCACACACTTCACAGAATATAATGGAAATCAGCACAACCAATTCACCAGCGAAACAGATTTACAAATAATAGACAATACTAAATACAGCACAGATCAAAGACATGTTGATTATCATTAATCTGAGATGCGAATTTAGTTAGATCGTGATATGCCGCTAATAATTAAAAAAATATCGTTTTTGATATGAATTTCGATATTGGTTATTTTGTATCGATGTCTCGATATATCGAATCAAAATATATCGGCAAAAAAATATCGATATATTTTCAACAAGCCTATCTGCGGCCACACTAAGCACACAATGCTAATGATCGAATTTTTTACCGACCGCTAAAATCCCTGATCACGCGCATTCGTTCATCAGTAAATTAAATACACCATTCAAAAAGCAAACTTAAACACCTGCAGGAAATTAAACAACATAAGTGCACTATAACAATGTAAGTGTTAACTCATTAAATCTTAATGAGCTATTTTCTGTTTGTGGCTATTATAAAAAAAAACAACCACGAAACAAGTATTTTTATAATATAACAAGCTGACCCAGCGAACTTCGTACCGCCATAAAAACAAAGGCTGGTTATAGAAGGGTAATAATTTAGGGTTATATGTATTTCTTAATCATCATCATCATCATCAGCCTATTAATGTCCCCACTGCTGGGGCACAGGCCTTCCCTATGGATGGAATAGGGAGATTGGGCCATGATCCACCACGCGGGCCCAGTGCGGATTGGTGGGTGCTAACGACTGACCTGACAACCGGGACCAACGGCTTAACGTGCCTTTCGAAGTACGGAGGAGCTCGAGATAGTAAATTTTTGGTCACCCATCCAATGACCGACCACT